CTGAAGAAAATGAAGTTCACATCATCAGGACTGAACAGAATCTGTACATTTCTTTAGTACTATTATTGTAGTAGTCTTCAAGGGGTGAAAAGAAATTGGAATGTTAGAATTTCACTAGGTTTATTTAAAAACAAACAAACAAGCCCACACACAAACAGAAAAACTCATCTGCAGAGTTTATCGTAGATTTAAAAAAAAAAAAAAGCTTATCAGCTAACCATGTAATGCATCTTACCACAGAATCAGAGGTTTCTCATTTTAAGTACATACCTAAGAAAGGGTTTTAGTCATGGGCTATCCCCATCAAAAGGAGGGGAAGGAATAGAAGTAATATATTTTGCTGGAAACTGAACATGATTAGTTTCTGCTGTCTGGATTTTTCCAAAGGAATCAGAGTGCTATAAGTCCTGTATTTAGGCTGAAAACACAATTGTTTTAAGGTATAAGTGGGTGAAACACTTTTATTGCTTGTATTTTGACTACATTACCAGATTTTCCTTGCCCACTGAAAAATACCTAAGGACTACTGTCTGTCCAGAACATTTCGTAGTAGTAATTTTTGTGACACTTCATTTTTTCAAATCCTATTATGTTTGTCATTTATTTAGATATAGGCACGCATGTAGAGTTATGCTAGTAGTTATTTCTAGGGATGTTTTGCTGTTTTCCAGCATTTCAACTAGAGCAACTGCTTCCTCTCTGTAAACATCTCAGCACTGCAGGACACTTAACAAAACTCAGCATTCTAGTAGACTGCTCTTGGGAAGTGTTTATGTGAATTGGCCAACTAGTCTGAGAAAAGATGTTCCTGCTGCCTTCACCGTACACTTGAAGTGCTAACTGTTGTTAACATTAATGCCCTCTGCTGCGCTGGATGGGAGTCTGGACCTTGCTGCCTACTTAGATTGTAGGCTCTGAAATTTAAGTGGAAAGGCCTTTCTGCTGAATGTATTAAAGTTCAGTTCTCACTATATAAAGAAAAGAACTTTCAATACACTTCTTTCTGACTGGAAGAATAATTACAAGATGAACTTAATTCACAACAGAAGAATTAGAATTAGGTTTTTGTATGAATTAGATTAGAAACATCAGATTTGATGATGTTGCACAGGTGAAATTATTTTTTTTCTAGAAGCGTGGATTTTGTACAGTTTCAGAAAATCTGACAGGTTATAGCAAAGGAAATCATCAAATTTAGTCCTGTAAGACTTGGATTCTTGCATATAAGGATTCACTTGTTGCAATCTTTTAATGTAGTTAGCTAAAAGAGGGGAAGATGTATGTTGTGATTTTAAACAGTCTTCATTTTTATTTGCCAAGAAAGCTTTGTCATCAGCTGACAGTGCAAGTCAGAACGGTGCCAGGTTTAAGCTAGCTTTAACCTAGAGACTGTAGTAGGTGCAGCAGTCTGTCTTAGCCATGCAAACGTCTGTGTGATGTGCAAATCTTACTGGAGCAACAAGGTAAAGAACATTCAGTGCAGCTGAATGGCCATGTAACTTGCTGGTATTCCCATCTATAGTGTAGACATGTCCGACTCTTCAGGATCATAACTTTTGTGGTTTGTAACACTCAACTGTATTTATTGCAGGTTTTTCATTATTATGCAAGACATTATCTATTTTGGCCAGGCTCATCGGCATAGGAATACTTTAATCCCCTTTTCATGAACATTCGTACCTTAATGTTGCTTACTGCAAACATGTGATTTGTTATACTGTCACTGTCAGATTCAGAGTGTATTTGGTTTGCTAGACATGTGTTGGTGAATCTTTCTGTGGTACTGTTTAAGGTGTGAGGATATGGTAGACGTGCGTCGACTAAAGATGCTTCAGATGGTGCAGTTATTTAAATGTGAAGAAGACGCTGCTCAGGTATGGGACTAGCTACAGAACTTCATTATGTTCTTTGTAGTCCACTGACTAAATTCACAGGGGTTGACAGCGTTATTTTTGTCACTTTCAAATGTAATTCTATTTAAGTGAATTTGTAAAGTGAAAATAAAAAAGGATATTGCAGTGACTGAAAATAGTCATGATATATGACGATTCTAAATATGCATGATTGACCAGTTTAATTGATACCTATTTTTTCCAAATTAAAAGTATATACTAGTATTGTAGTTAGTTCACCCCTCTGGATGAATTTCTTAATTTAGTACAAAACCTGTGTTTCATTTGTATAATTTACTTTTCTTTTTAAGGCAGTAGAGTGGTTAAGTGAACTGTTGGATGCTCTGCTCAAGACACACATCCGCTTGGGAGATGATACTCAAGAAACTAAAGTTTTACTGGAGAAACATCGAAAATTTGTTGATGTTGCACAGGTGAAATGTTTTTTTCCTAGAAATTTGGGGTTTGTACAGTTTCAGAAAATCTTCTAAAAAGGATTGCTGCCCTATATATGTGATTATTTGAACTGCTGTTACTAGTTGTCTTCATAGTTTGCTTCAATACTTGAATAAAGAAATCATGATTGCTGGAATTGGTGATTAGCTTAATGAGATTTTTGAAGTTCCCTCACCAACGGTGATACCACAGTCCTACCACCTTTAGTTTGGTCTGCTTCACATAGGCAATGCAAACCAAGAACATAAATTTGACAATGACCTTTTTTTAAAGGCAGCTATTTCAGACAGTCTTTGTAAAGATGTTTGAAGGATTGCAACCAAGATAATGAAATATGAGTGAGCTACTTGATTTCAGTCTGTCTTCTGCTGTATGTTATGAAACAGAGCCTGCCTTTCATTTGGTTGTCCAGGTAGGGTTGACCATTGGTGTATGTTTGTCCTGCTCGTGCAAGGAGCCCTTGGTACTAGTAGAGTTAGGGATAGAACAGAGCTGACATCTCTTGACTGTAGCAGCCAACTAAAGAATCCTGTTGTACAAGAATATACTGAATTTCACGGAAGCTATAGGGCACTCTTGCACACCTATTTGCAAACCTTGAATATGCAAACAATGTGTGTAAGTTGGACCTTCTTCAGGTACTTTTTCAGATGCTTACTGTTTTTTAGGCGCATCGAGTTCAGAGTTGCCAATTAATAGATGTGGTATTTTCAAATACCTGCTCTACTGGAACTGATTCTCTTTGAACAGTGACCATGTAAGGATGAGGAAGAACTAGAAATGACCATGGCAGGAGGATAGCTTGCTGTCAGTAACAGTGCCCTGGATGTAGGGTGACCAGAAACATGGTGACAGTGAAGTTGGTGAGACAGTCATCTTGGCAATAGATATCAAGCATTCCATGTAAGATCCAAGCAGCTATTTGCTATTTTGAAGAAGGTCTCTTCTTTTGCCAGTGTGAATGCTAGAGTATTGGGGCTCTTTGAAGAGTGTAACACCAATTGCAGCAATTGCATTGGTAAACACAATTTTATTCACGCTTCAGCAGTGTTTTTCTAGCAGATCAAGTTAGTTCAACATACGTTGTGAATCTAAATTGAGGGGGTTTGACAAACCTGTCTGCTGTCATTTTAAGATCATAATTAACCCTTCATTTGAATGCAGAAGTTTTTACCTACTTTCTTCTCTCCCTCACCCACTATTAGAGTACTTACGATTACGGGAGACAGTTACTGCAGGCTACAGTTGTGCTGTGCCAATCTCTGCGATGCACTTCAAGGTCCTCGGGGGACACACTTCCAAGGCTGAACAGAGTGTGGAAGCAGTTTACATTAACTTCAGAGGAAAGAGTACATAGGCTGGAAACAGCTGTTGCATTTCATTCAATTGCTGAAAAGGTGAGTGTTGTGTTTTTAAGAAGAAAAACATCATATAAAAATTTAAGCAAAAAATTTAATAAAATCATGTAAGAAAAATAAAGTTGTCAGTGTATATTTTAGACTTAATTTTGTATTTACCTTTCTAAATATTAAAAAGTAGGAAGAATAGGAATTTAAGAATCTAGAATTCTTATGTTATTGATTAGAAGAGTTATTAGAATTATTTTTTTAGTACTTAATTATTATTTCTATACAATATGTTGTTATAGGGCCTGTATAACAAAAAGGAGAACAGCCTTAAGCAGGTGGCATTGGATTGTAGCTGGGAAGAATTTTTTTTTAACTCTTAATACCAAGACGAGTGTGGTGTTGATCAGAAAGCATTTTGTTTTGTTGGTTTAGACTGTAATTCTTCAAAAGCAACGAAAATATCTTGATTTGTGTTTTTGTGCAAGGTATAATACGAAGCTGTGATATTACTTAAGAACTTCACAGAGTTGAAAGGAATAAATTGCTGTATACACTGTGTGTGTTTTTAATGTGGTCTTCTGCTCACAAATTGTGTAGGTTTGTGAAACTCTCAGCAGTTGTTTTCTTACATGCCAAGTTGCTACATCTCATATTTTGTGCTTGGAGTTTGGTCTTGGGGGGATTTTGAACATGCTTTCTTCCAAGCACTCTGCTATCTTAGTATGATTTTCAAACCCCTGTAACTAAGGGCCTGGCTACTGCACCCAATTGGATGTTGCTAGAAGCCACAGAGGAGGATGAGCAGTCAGCAACAATATTGTGAGGAAAATTTGCTGTTAGGTAACAGCTTAGATAAGGGGGAATACTGGAGTTTTCAAATGCCTAAATTCCATAAAGCATCCTTGAATATAGTTCATGAAGGACTTGGCCTTTTGGTACAGAATATGTCATTTCTCGGTGTTTATAAGTGATACGTTTTAGAAAAGCAATTTAGGATATCTGTCTCCAATATTACCACCATTATCATTTTAAAAAAGCCAACCTTGGACAGAGTAAAGGTAAAAACTTGAATTGTCGTTAAAGAAAAGCATGGATGAAACGTTGATTCACATGCTCGTTTCCTTCATTTCTTGTTTGTATTAATGGAGGATACTTTGAATCCCTGGGAGCTGGGAGGTGTTGGAAGTTCATAAAGGCAGAAATATATCGTCTGTGCTGCCACAGAGAGCTGAAAATAGTATTGCTTAATATTAAATTAGAATTCTGTGATTAATAAAAGTCTTGATTGTCTCAGTCCATATTACAAGCACTCTTTCATTATTGCAGTAGTTAATTGCTATATTTGTAGGCAATCAGAAATAAAAACGAGTAAATGGATGCTTCAAAAAACTACTGTCTTGTCCAGAAGTGTAATTCTCCTTGCACTATTTTGGCTTATTAATTACACTGAAGAACCTTGTGATCTTAATATCCCTGCTTCATTGACCGGGGGGGGGGATTTAAGGAGGGGGGGGAAAAAAAGAGTGCATTTGGAAGAAAACACAGAATTAAGCACTAGTATTTGGTCCCCTTTTAATCCTCACTTGCTGTGTGAGTTCATTGCCGGATATGGTTTTTGGTTTCAAAATAGCTTGAAAGGGGCCCTTCATTACTGAAGTTTTTCTATTTCATATTGTTGTCTTGCATGTTTAATGATTCAGATTACTTTTTCATGCAGTATGTATGTATTGTTGGAATACCTCGTAGCAAGACCTCATTCTTTTTTCTTCTTTGTACCCACTTAGCAATAATACAAAATGTGCCAATACAGAATAGCAGCTGCCCTGAACAATCTTCTCAGAGTAGCTGAACCACTCTCATTCTTGAAACTTGCACGAGTCTATTTTGATTGTTCAAGATGGATCTTGTGTAAATGAAGTGCTGAAGATGCTGAAAGAGCATTCACTGGGCCGCTTAATGGCCCTTTAAAAACCAGATGCTATCCTTTGCCTACTTTGTTCTATCTTTCCTTATTGTTTTACAGATTTTGCAAGAATGTCCAGAGCAGCCTGAAGCTATTAATGAAATGGAACAATTTGATGAAATTGAAGCCATTGGGAAATCGCTGCTGGACAGATTAACAGTGCCTGTAGTTTATCCCGATGGGTATGCAAAATGTTGTTGTAATACCTTCTGCATATGCTTTTTGGTAAAGTTTCATAATAGTCTCCCATGCATAAGAATTCTGAATGCTTACTGCTGAAATTCAAAAGGTAGTGCACTAATTCTCATTAAGATTTTTTTCCCACCTTTTCATACAAAGTAGGCAGGTCCATTTTCAAACTTGCCAAAGACAGTGTGCCTGCTTTTTCAACCTTGTGATCGTTTTCAGCTTCAGTAATTATTAGGTTTATGCAGTCTTTACACCCCTGAGGTATGTAAAGATAACAGAACAACTATCTGATCCCAATCTTTTCTCCCTGAAAACCTGTATCAGGTTTGAGTCATGTAAGATTAATGTATTCCAAAATGTACCTATCTTAAGTTTCGAGCCTATACATTGAGGGTAAATTTTGATTTATTCAGTTTATAAAACAGTACCCCCCCCTCATGAGTTTGTCATACTAATTTAAAAGTGGCCACTGTCTCAGACTACAACAAGTAAACTGAATTTGGAATATCAGTCATGATAATACTCTGTTCTCTGTGTACAGTAAAATACATTTATCCGGTGCAATGCTTGAGCTCACGGTTGATTTCTTTTAACCAATATAACCAAGTCTTGGAACTAGACTCTGGGTGCGTAGGACCAAACTACAGCATCTGAGATTGATACTTTGAATTAGAGGTTGAAACTTTGTGAAATGATATCTTTCTACAAATTATTTTGGGTTAGCAGGCCTTATAGGTTATCTGAAGTTGATCTGTCTGAAAAAGTCCTGGTCAAGAATATGAAATTTCTGTAATCTTATTTCCAAAATATGTTCCTTAACGCAGCATAGTTTTCTTTGATAGTGAGAGTTGCCCAAGAAGACAGACTAGTGACTGAGGTGGTAGTGATGTATTTAATATGATGATTGACTGCTCTTCTGCTGAGACTGTAAAGAGGTGCTTGTCTGGCTCCTGTTGCTGCAAAGTCTGGTCTTTCACTTCCACTAAGGGTGTTGAAAAGCAGAAATCAAAGGATTAAAACTATTACAAAGGCTGATTGTAACTGTTGACTTGTATGTTTCCCAAGTGGCCCTTGACAGTCTTTCCCTAAGACTTCTACTAACAGTTATTATGTCGGGTATTCAGTAAGTTGCAACTTCGTGATGCTGTCTTGATGAGCAAAGGTCCCCGTTTGATCTTCAATATTCTACTTTTGTGACCAAGCTCATACTTGGCTCTGACTTTCCTGTATGCTGTGGACTATTCTTCAGCTCATTGAAGTAATTGATTTCTGTTGCTCATTATCCTCCTAACTGTTCTTTCCATTTCTAGACTTAAAAGAATTTTTAGAATGACATTGTGAATAGTTCCTGAAAATGGATTGCATTTTCTGTTTCCAGTGTTCTTTGAAATAGAAACATGCACATATTTTTGAACATAACCAAGTTCAATCTAAACAGTGATATTTTAACGTGTGCTTGTTTATCTCTCAGTTGCTTTTCTTTTTACCAGAAACACATGCACTCTCTTAGACTGAGTCAGTGCATACCTTATGTGGTGCTAGATAGTTTTGTCTTGCTTTTATGGACCTTGAAATACACTAAATAAATATTTTCACTGAAAACATCTTCATTTCTGCTCTTGAAAAACAGTTTTACCCTATATTTGTAAAGCTGCTGATTAGTGGTGTACGTGTGTTGTTTTTTTGGGTGTAGTGATGTGGGTGTGTTTTTTTTTTTTTCTTTTAAGACCGTACATGCCATGCCAGGGAGCAGAAAACCTTTTCTGTGTTAAAATGGTATTTTTCTGGTGAATGGGATCCGTCTGTAATGCCCCACAGGTTGCTCTTACAGTGCTATTAGTGTTCTTAATAGGTTTACTTCTTATTGTTTATTTTTAAATAAAACATAATTCTCTTTAAGGATAAGCAGTAATTTTGTTAGGTTTCATTTTTAAAGGGATAGTATAACCATAAAACGTACTCTTTTCTGAATATATCTTCAAATTATAATCTGGCATGTAGCAATCAATTCCTCATGTGATAAAATTTGAAAATTCACTGTGGATGTAGAAGACCATTTTGTCAGTGCTCAGCTTTGCTGTTTTCTAATAGCATTATCAGCATACTGAGTGCTTTACTGCTGCCTCAACAGATTTTTCTCCCTCTAGGGAAATTTTTGTAATTTATTTTTTTTAAAGAAGGCAAGATATGTTCATAACGGGAGCATCAGCAGGGAGATTGAATACATAATGTGAAACTTGATTGGTATATACCGTGCATTACATGCAGTTGATATTGTCCAGCCATATGACTTGGAGCTCCCAGCCTGTACAGGTGTACCCTGTAAGGGGTACACCTTTGTGGGTAAGGATGGTAAAAGGGGCCTCAAGGATGCCATTAATAGTGCTTTTAGACAGTGACCTCAAAATGCTGTCACTTAGTGTTTTGGGTTTTTTTTATAAGCAGAGAGGTAACATTTAAACAAAAACTGCCCCTTCAGTAGAGTGTTTGAAAATAGCTGGAGGGTTTTAGGCTATGAGAAAAGAACTAACAAGTGTGTTATGTCTGTTTAAATACATCTTATAGTAGATTTTGCATATATAGGGACACAGTAAAAACAGTAATTGCTATTTATTCTTAAAATTATTTACTTTAACAGATTATTAAAGTAAAACCAAATGTTGGTGGTTTGTGGAACTTGCCTTGGCACCTGTTAGAACCTAGGAAAGCTCCCCATGAAAGAGGACACTTACTGGACTGCTGAGTTTTGACTAATGCTACAATGCTCAATACAAGCACAAAAGCACAATAGCTTTAGGTATACATACCTATGTTTTGGGCTGACTGAATCCTGAACGTTATTTTTGGCCTGTCCTAAATCCCAAGATCCCCTACTGATCCTCCTTGGGCATTCTAGTTTTTGAAATATTTAACAAACGATTTGCAAAGGGTTCGCTCATTAGTAGAAGTAGTTTAAGAAACGTAAGGAAACATCAAAGCATCCTAAAATGCCATTAAGCATACTTCTTTAGTCTTCATCAGCCTCTTCAGCACTGTTAGGCTTTGATCAGTGGTCTTCTGGGAAGTCCAGGTCCCCTCCCTGTCCTGCTTATGGCAGGCTTCTGATCTGCATCAGGAAAATGTCTGGCCTTATTTGTGATCACATTCACACTTACGCTGTCTGTTTTCTTTCTGGAGGGTACCCAAGTCAAACTAGTCTCCTCCTGCACAAAATACTACTTTTCTCTTTGGATATCTCCGTCCCAGGGTTCCATCTCAAGTCTTTTGTCCTACTGCCACTTCCCAAGAAATTTTCCCTCTGTGCATTGTAGCAAGATTTGATGCCTGTTCTGCTTCTTTTGAAACATCTATTCTATTCTTGGTTTGGAAGAAAGATGACATAACTTGATGGCATGTGGCTGGCTTCACATACAGAGAGTCCTTCAATAATGGAGCAATTGTACAACCTCAGTCAGAAGTCATGTACAGACAGATTTACAGTTGTCACAGTATCCAAAACTGCCAGGTGGGCTTGGAGGCAGCCAGAGATTGGAGGTACAAATAGTATTGGGAAGTCTTTAGGCAGGCTTTTAGAACAGTACCCTGCTGTTCAGAGAAACTTTGCGGTGTAAGAGGATCAGTTGTTTATAATCATTTCATCAAGATGCGACGAATTTCATCACTGAGTCACCACAGCTTTTCAAAGGTGTCTTTTAAACCTCAAGAGAAAAAGTGCCTATTTTTCTAAGCTGCATTGTGTTTTCTAGAGTTTGTCATTCACTTGTATGTTCATGTACTATTTGTCTTCTCACTGATAACTTTTTTGGTGTGTTTTGTTTTTCTAGTTCTGAGCAGTACTTTGGGAGCCCAAGTGATATGGCTTCTGCAGCAGAACATATTAGAGAAAAGATGAAGCTAGTTAGCCTGAAAAAGCAACAGCTGAGACAACCGGAAGCCACTACCCCGGAGAGCTAATAGACTGACCCTTGTCTATCGATTCATAATAGGACTTCAGTTTGTAATCCAGCATGCTGTTTGCATATTACAAAATTTGGCATAATATATTAAAATACATTTCACAGCTGTTATAAAAGTCTCATCTTTTGTTCAACGTAAATGTTCTCAGCATCTTAACGCTGTACATCTGTCAAGCCATAATTATTTAACATGCTATGAAACCACAGATTCCAAGTATCTTACAAAAAGGAACTGTAAACTTTGCACTGAAATTTGCTGTAAAGCTTTACCTGACCTGTCAGCTGCTGCTTAGTTAAAACAGCTGATGCAAGCTTTGAATGGTGCTAATGAAAGCGTTAGGAGTTCCACCTTATGAAATCGTAGTTCTTTGCTTCCCCCCTCCCCAGGTGGTGTAGTAATTTTAGACTGTAGGCAAAGTACCTGCAGCGTAGATAGTGGTGACCCTATAATTTTAATTTGAAGTACTTTAAAAAAAGACTCATTTTTATTGTGCCAGTATGCAACCTATCCATCAAATCTTTGATATATCAAATTCATTAAACAGATGTTTTCCTATTTGTATTGATAATGTATTAAAAGCTGTTTGTGCTTAATAAAAATCATCTTTTTAAAATCTAAAATAAACTTGTTTTGGCTTGTAGTCCCATTTGCATTACATTCTGTGATAAATGATAGTAAAAACCCTCACTCTCTCAACATATGTAGCAATGTCTGTATTGTTTTTCTTATAAACTACACTGTTTAGTACTCTGTAGTTATAAACGGAACTGCTCGTGAACTGTTGCATGGGAGTGAGAGTCTGTGCCATTTTTTCTGATTTTCTGATAGCAGTCCTCACACAACAGTATGTTAGTATGTGTATAAGCAACCATTATATTAATAGCAGCTTTGATATTAATAGCAGGTAAGACCAGCTCTCGTGCTTTGCTTTTAAGTCTTGTTTCCCTTTGAACTGACTCTTGAATGATGTGATACCCTTGGGTAGTGCCTTTGAGGATAAAGATGTTCATTTAATTAAAAATGGTTAATGAGAACTTCATAAACAGCTTAAAACCATGAGGTTCATAATAAAGTGTGATTTACTGAGAGAAAGGAATTGAACTGAAACAAAATCAAATGTGCATAATTTAGTTAACTTCTCACTCTTAAGGATTTAATTTGGATAAATTCAGTATCATAGAAGGTGATGTGGTATCTGACCATTTTAGAAAACTGTCTGTGAAACTAACAACTGTAGGTCTAAGCATCTTTGGTTATCTCACTGTATTTTATTCCCAGTAAACATAATGCTCCCTTCCTGCAGATACTACTTTTCAAGTAATTTTCTTGATGGATCTGTCATTCAAATAGTTTATTTACATATTTTTCTCAGTTTTTCCATATCTTCTGCACAGGAAAGTGATGTGTCAAATACAGCAGTTTCTCTATTAAAAATACTCAAAATGAATGGTTTCTATGTAACTTGAGTGGTAACTTTTTTAACATCTCAAGGTATTTTGGAAGAAAAAATCAAATTATTCTTTTTTTTCTCTGAAATTTTTGATGCAATGGTATGATAATACCTTAATGGTGTAATTTAAAATCAACTGAAGTTTCATAAACCTTATTTATAAAGAGGTTTTTTTATATCTAACATCTTAAAATTGCATTCAATTGCTCAGTTTCATGTAAGAGTGCAGCTGATGCAGTGGCTAATATTTGGATGAGAGAACTTTATTTAGAAAGAACCAAAACAAGGAAAATAAGTTTGTATTTAATACAAATAAATATAAAAGTAAACCAAGACTATAGTCATTGATAAGCACCGCATCTCCACTTCTACAGCATTTGCTTAGAAATAGAATCCTGTTAGAATAAATAATGGTATGCAGTGTAAAATCCTGCTCAAATATTAGTTTATGGGGAGCAAGTATGTTATGGACACTCAGATTATTTGTGGGATTTTAATTCTATTTTTATTTTGTTTAAGGGCTCAATAACATGCAATTACAGAGCAATATCACAAATTCTTAACTTATGCATGTGACAGCTGCATGCACAGCTTAGAACTGATGGCTGTTCTCCCTAATAACCCTGTTGTTAATTATGGCTGCAAGTATGAAGTCCAATTTTGAGGCTGTTATCAGTCATATGGTCGTTCCTAGAGCACGGTGGATTCTGACCTTTTTCCTATTGTCTTGATTTAATCAAGTCCCCTCTCTTCTCTTTCCTTTCCTCACTGATATTCCTCACTGATATCCCTTACATTTAGGGGAATCATCAAGTAGCTGGTAACGTGATCTTGTGCATGAGATTTGTGATTTACCCATTTCCTATGTAAGGAATAATGGCAGTGGTTTTATAGATCATACTGCATGAGTCTACCAGATATTTCTGAATCCTTCCTTCTGACTCTGAGACTTCCTGTTTTATTGGAAGAATGGAATAACTGTGATCTGCTAAGAATAGTGTTCAATGTAACTTAATTGAGAGAGATTTTGTGCTGGTCTTCTCTTAGCCAGTCCACTGTTTATAGTGATCCTTGCTACCAAATCTCTGGAAATTTACAACCTTTAATAGCATGCAAGGTACGACCAGATAACGGTCTTAGAGACATGCTAAAAGGTGCAACTCTGCTCAAGTAATCTGTTATAACTTGCCTGTGGTGGTACTGGTGTAGGCGGTCGTGGTGGCTGTGGCTCCGGCTCTGCCCTTACAGAGTAGCTTTTTGATAGCAGAAACGCTTCAAGCAACAAGAGTTCCAGGGACTGTAGGAGTGATGCCAAATGATGAACAACTGAAGCGTTGTCTTGTAGCTCCTGTGAATCTGAACCCAAGATGCTACTTTGCATTGAGTCCTTGCCTAATTTCTGACTATTGTACGCTTCGCAGTCTGTTGAGGAAAGGCAATTATAAGGTAAGGATTGGGTGTACTTTGCCAGTAACTCTTTAAAGATGCAAAAATAATTTGTGGATTTTTTTTTTTTTTAATTGACTATAAGGACTATAGTTATAAGTATATAATGACTAGTGACTTAAAAGTGATGGTGTCAACCCTATTTCACAGTATTGAAGTCAATAATAGGATTTTCTAAGTTCCTGTCAGCCAAGTTTGAGTGTATTTGAAATGTTTCAAAATATGGTAAGCATTTTGTTACCGTTTCTGGTAATGAAATCCTGAACAAATCCATTGTTTTTGTGACAAAGAAGAGCAAGCAGCTATCTTGAAAATTATTACTGTTTCATTAATTAGACATAATACGACTCAAAGCAAACAGTCCACATCAATGAAATAACCCTCACTTCCTCTGGAACCAGTGAATTGTTGGAATGGTAGATCTCATCCGTTCTTAGTAGAACACCAGTTGGGTAGACAATCATGTAAAATGCCTATAGGCTCTTCTAATTGTGAAGGGTGTGATGGCATTTGTGTTGATTTCCATAAAAGCTATTCGACTCCGCTTAACCTTGTATCTTGACTAGCAGGACTCATAGAGTTAACCTTTTGAAAAAAACAGCTTTGGAGCATGGAGGCTTGCGTGACTGACTTACTAGCATTCCAATGGACTTACTCTGGAGATAGAGGATGGAAGAGAGTTGTGTGTGCAGGGGATTGGATGGCACTTTTTGACAGCACGTTAGCCTAAGATATTAGGCCAGCTAGGAGCAAGATGGAGAGAGGATTTTTCTATTCCAGAATTTAAGGGACATCTTGAGTAAAGAAAATTGAGTCGTAAAAGTGTGAGTAGATCCTGATCATAAGGAGAGGTTGCCAAGGGCTTTCAATAACAGTAATGATCAGTAATGAACAGTAATGATAATTTTTTCATGTTGCCTCCTATCCTCTGAATATTTTCTACAGGATAATTTTAATCTGTATAGCAAGGGGGATTATGCATAGGATGGAGGGAGCTCAGTAGCTAAAAGGCTAAGGAAAGAGGGATGAAAGCAAAATTTTAGTGATGCTTTGTACGTACTTTCTGAAGCCTTTGTCCCTGAAGCCTTTGTCCCTCAACTCTCTCAAGACTCTTGGAACAGTAAAAAGGGGGTCAATGCTGTAAGAAGACTCATATTAGATTTCTGTTCTCATTTAGAGAAACTAATCAGAAGGTTAGTCTAAGCAGACAGGATCTCAGCCCATACATATATAACAGCTGCAAAAGCAACTAAATGTGGAGTGCAAGGCCGATAACTGTTAAGAGTATCTGGAATTTAAATGCATGCTTCCAGCAATGTAATTAGTCATGATCTCTCCGGAGAGAAATCTAACGTCTTTTTCAGGTTTGTGAAAGGTGAGGTACTCCGACATAAAAGAATCAAAGGCAATAGAGATGAAAGAGTTACATTTCTTCTGGATTCTAATCTGCACAGTCATTTTGGATCTTGGCAGACTGATTCTTTTCTGTAGTGTGTCACTTCCATAATTTCCGTGCACATAACAATCCAAGTGCTAGCTATTGCAAAGTGATTTCCCTGGAGCCTAAATCAGGTGTTACAGAGAATGCTGGACTATCATTTAAAAAAAAAATTGATTTCCACAATCATTTCGCTTTCACTTATTGTACTTAAGTAGTCTCATCATTATGGTACTGATGCCTTTCTATCAAAACTCAGCTTAACTGGGAATTCTATTAAAAACAGACTACTATGCCTTTTGCAATAATGTGTAGGCCCAGAGTTCTCGAAGATATTTTCTGTCTGATGGTCTGTGGAGGTAGCATTTTGTCGTGGAGATTTACTGTCTGTGGAAGTATAGGTAAGAATAAATAACCACACAGAGATAAGTGTGTGATTTCCCTCTTTTCATGGGTCCCTTAGTACAGATCTCCCAGATACTTGGTAGTTTAGGACTATTTTTTTCTGTGACTTCAAGGTGTAAGGTGAATCATTAAAAAGACTTGTGAGAACGCCTCCATTTCTGTCAGATTGGAAGACATTCTATTGATTGACATTATATGTTTGTTGGACTGAAATAGTAAAAGAGTGTAGTTTTAGTTATGCTAATAGAAGAATGTATGCAAATATACCAAGAATTAATGTTAAGATTACGCTCATAAAATAGTTATGAAAATACTTAAGGCAAAAACTTTCTTTCCTCTTGAAGACAACATTGCTTCACATGGGTCTCTCCTATAGCAAAGATTGTAAGAATATAATATACAGAGCACAGGAGTGTCAAAGGTTTCAAATTCCTCTTTTGAATGGAGAGAAGAAAAAATCTGCTACACTTTAAACTTCAGATGTGTTAAAGAAATAGGTTGGAAAACATAAAAGCAAAGTGTGTATCTTTGTCTTTTGTTTAATTTTGGCTGTAAAAGTTCAGGTAATTTTCCAAATAACTCTACTAACGATATTTCCAATTTATAAGCTTGAGATCAAAGAGCCAGACTAACACTCCAAACTTGTGAAGCACAAAGAAAAGCAAAGGAAACTTTAATCAATCTTAAATTTAACCTTTTTGGTTGAGAGAAGGTTGTTAAGTGGAAAAAACTGATTGTGTTAGCAAGAATTGTGCCTTTAATTTGCCTTAGTAGTGAACAGAAATGGTAGCATATGATTCTTCATAGATATAACACAGGTTTTCAAATAACAATGCTATTTTATTGCCAGTTTAATGATAGCAATGAAAGATGTGTTGTGACTCCCCTAGTGCTGTGGAAAAAATTACTTTTCTTGTGTGTAGGTAACTGTAGAGTCATTTAGCTTTTTAAAATAAGTTTA